CTGGAGAGGATGTAGAGAAAAAGAAACATTTCTACACTTTGGTGGGATTGTAAATTAGTATGAAATAGTATGTAGGTTTTTCAAAAGACTAGAAATGGATCCACCATATGACCCAGCTATACCACTCATTGTATTTATCCTAAAGAATTAAAGTCAATATACTATAGCATTACATGCATACCCATTTTTTTCTGATAATAATTATTTTATTTTATTATTTTAATGTAATTTTTTATTTATATATGAAATGGAATGTATTACAATTCTTATTACATATATAGAGCACAATTTTTCATATCTCTGGTTGTATACATAGTATATTCACACCAATTCGTGTTTTCATACATGTACTTTGGATAGTAATGATCATCACATTCCACCATCATTAATTACCCCATGCCCCCTCCCTTCCCCTCCCACCCCTCTGCCCTATCTAGAGTTCATCTATTCCTCCCATGCTCCTGCTCCCTACCCCACTATGAATCAGCCTCCTTATATCAAAGAAAACATTTGGCATTTGTTTTTATGGGATTCGCTAACTTCACTTAGCATTATCTTCTCCAACTCCATCCATTTACCTGCAAATGCCATGATTTTACTCTCTTTTAGAAGAGGAAAAGTTTATTTGGGACTCATGGGTTCAGAGGTCTCAGTCCATTGACAGCCAACTCCATTGCTCTGGGCCACACATGAGGCAGGACATCAGGGGATATGGAAGGGTGGGCAGAGTAAAGCAGCTCAGGGAGGGACTAATTTTGGCTCATGGGGACAAAATGTAAACCTCAAAGGCACCCTCCCAGTGACCTACCTCCTTAAGTCACACCCTACTGACCTATAGCTATCACCCTGTTAATCCATTCAGATGGATTAATGCACTGATTATGTTAAGCTTCTCATAACGGGATCATTTCACCTCTAAACTTTTTTGCATTGTCTCGTGAGCTTTTGGAGGACAGTTCATATCTAAACCATAACAGTCTCTAATGCGGTGTGAGCCTTGTGGCTATCTTTTTTAAAAAATTTATTCTTTAAATACATGACAGCAGTGGAAGCATTACAATTCTTATTACACATATAGGGCACAATTTTTCATATCTCTGTATATAAAGTATGTTCACGCCAATTTATGCCTTTATACATGTACTTTTTTTTGCATTACAATTCTTAATACACCTATATATCACAATTTTTTGTATCTCTGTTTGTATATAAAGTATGTTGACACCCAATTCAAGTCTTCATACATGTACTTTGTATAATGATGTCCATCACATTCCACCATTCTTGTTAATCTCCTGCCCCCTCCCTTTACCTCTCACCCCTCTTCCCTATCTAGAATTCATCTATTCCTCCCATGTTCTCCCTCCCTACCCCACTATGAGTCAACCTCCTTATATCAAAGAAAACATTTGGCATTTGGGTTTTTTGGTATTGGCTGACTTCAATTAGCATTATCTTCTCTAATGCCATCCATTTACCTGCAAATGCCATGATTTTGTTCTTTTTTAATGCTGAGTAAAATTCTATTGTGTATATATGCCACATCCACTGAAGGACATCTAGGTTGGCTCCACAGTTTAGCTATTGTGAATGTGCTATAAACATTGATGTGGCTGTGTCCCTGTAGTATGCTGTTTTTTAAGTCCTTTGGGCATACCCATATTTATAGCAGCACAATTCACAATAACCAAACTATGGAACCAATCTAGGTGTCCATAAATGGATGAATGGGTAAAGAAAATGTGGCATATATACAGAATACAGTTTTACTCAATCATAAAAGTGAATGAAATAGTGTCATTTGCAGGAAAATGGATGGAACTTGAGACTATTATATTAAGTGAAATAAGCCAAACTCAGAAACTATAAAGGGTTGTATTTTTCCTCTCATATGTAGAAACTATAGAGGAAAAAGAAAAGGTGGGAAGAAAAAGAAAGGTGGGAAGGGGTGTGCTTCATGAAAATTGAAAGGAGATCAATAGAGGATAGGGACAAGAGGGAGGGAAAGGAAATGAGATAAAAGGAATATACTGGTGAAGGATATTGGCCAAATTTTGTTTTTATATTATGTGCATGTACAAATATATAACAACAAATCCTAACATATGTGCAATCATAATGCACCAATAAAAATATGGAGAAAGCATATTGTTCAATCTCTATGTGTTTGCATAATTTCTGTAGTTGCTTTTGTTGTTGATTTCTAGTTTCATTTCATTATAACCTGATGAGTTGCAAAAGATTATTTATATTCTTAAAAATGTGTTAAGTCTTACTTTGTGGTCCATTATATAATCTACTTGGAAAAACTTTAATGTACTGATGAAAAGAATGTGAATGTGTTCTGTAACTGTTGGATGCAATACTCTATAGGTGTCTGTTAAAAATGCAGTTGATCTATAGTGTGATTTAACTCTGATGATTCCTTATTGATAATTTTTGTCAGGATTTTCTATTATGAGAATGGGGTACTGAAATTACCCACTATTATTGTATTGGGGCCTACCTCCCTTTATGTTCATAGTATTTGATTTATAAAATTGCGTGGTTTGATATTTGGTACATCACATCTAAAATTATTAAATCTTCTTGATAAATTGTTCCTTTAATAGAAATGTAGTGAATTTCTTTGTCTCTTCTGACTATTTTTGGCTTGAAACCTCTTTTGTTAGATAAGAGTATAGCTAATTCTGCTTCCTTTTGGATTTCATTTGCTTGGAACATTGTTTTCCATATTTTCTCTTCCAGTCTGTGTATGTCTTTGCAGGCAGAAAATTGTTGGGTCTTATATTTTTGTTCTGGTTTCATTTTCTTTGTTTGTTTTAGATCCAGTTAGCCATTCTGTGCTTTTTCACTGAAAAATCAAGACCATTTCCACTCAATATTATTATTGAAAGGTGTGTATTGGTTCCCACCATTTTGTTGTTTTTCTAGTTGTTATGAGTGATCTATGTGCATTTCTTTCTTCCTTATTCATTTTAAAGTATTTGTTACAGAATTAAAGTTTGATTATTTTCTTATTCTCTCTTACTTATCTACTCTATTAGTGAGGTTTGCTCTTTCCCATGCTCTCATTATGGTGTTTATCTTGCTTCCTCTTCTGTAGGTAAGTTTCCTAAACATATCTTTTGTAATACTGGTTGAGTAGTCATGAATTCCTTTAGTTTATGCTTATCTTGGAAGGTCTTTATTTCTTCTTTCAGTATGAAGGATAACTTAATGGATATAGTAATGTAGGCTGTTAGTTATTTTCTTTCTGGAATTAAAATATACCATTCCATGTCCTCTTGGCCTGTTGAGATTCTGCTGAGAAATATGATGTTATTCTGATGAGTTTAACTTTATATGTGACTTGGTGCTTCTCTCTTACAGCTTTCAATATTCTTTTTTCTGTATTTTTGGCAGTTTAATGTGTCACAGATAGGTTCTTTTCTGATCATGTCTATTTGGGGATATAAATTCCTCCTGTACCTAAATGTCCATATCTTTTCCAAGATTTAGAAAATGTTCTGCTATTATTTCACTGAATAGGTTTTCAATGCCTTTAGCCTATAGTTCTGCTGCTTTGTCTTTGCCAATTATATATACATTTAGTCTTTTGATGGTGTCCCACAGACCATATATGTCGTTTTCATTCTCTCTCATTTTTTTCTTCATTATGATCTGAATGTGATAATTTATCAACCTTGCCTTCACTTCCTGATTCTTTCTTCTGCTTAACCTAGTCTTTTAGTAAGGCTTTCAACTGCATTTTAATTTGACTTACTGAGCTTTTTATTTCTAAAATTTCAATCTGGTACTTTTTCAGAATCCCTAATTCTTTATTTAATTGATGTTTCATATTCTATATTGATTTTCTTAATTCACTCATATATTTATTTTATCCTTGTTGAATTAATAATTTTATTGCCATTTGCTTAAAGATTAAAGACAACACAAGTAGAAAGACCTTCAATGTTCACAGATAGGCAGAAATAATATTGATTAAAATGCCCACACTAGCAAAAGTTTTCAATTAGCAATAATCGCGCCTCGGATAAACCTCATTGGCTATGATACTGCCACTGCGCAAAGCTAAGCAAAAGTAATATAGAGATTCAATGCAATCCCCATTAAAATACCAATGACAATCTTCATAAAACTAGGGAAAAAAATTGTCAATTATTTGGAAGAATAAAAGAACTAGAATAGTCTAGGCAATTCTAAGCCAAAAAAGCAGTGCTGGAGACACCAAAATACCTGAATTCAAATTATAATATATAGTTTAGTAATAAAAACTGCATGGTGTTAGCACAAAAACAGACACAAATCAATTGTACAGAATAGAAGTCACAGAGACAAATCCACAAAAATACAGTCATCTGACCATCATAGTTCAGATATGATGTAGACAGCAAAAAATATGAGGTACATCCCCTGAGGTTACTTCTCCAGTCTTGTCATCAATGTGCAGGAAGAAACCTAGGCTGAGGTCCCTTGTAGGCGAAGTGTCCAACTTTTGTGTGCTCACTGCTGTTGCTACAAAGGTGAATGACAAGAAACAGGTCTTCAGCCCCCACCCCACCCCTAGCCATGCCTACTTGGTGCAGGTAATCAACTGGAGATTTTATATTCCTTATTCTTTAAGTTGAATTATCTACCAAGGTTCCAACAGGGTTGGGTCATAGGTGAAGTAAGGTAAAATTTTTCTCAGCTGGGTTGGGAGGGTAGTTCAGTGGCACACCATCTACCCAACATGCTCAAAGTGTTGGGCTCAATTCCCAGCCCCACACACAAAAAAAAAGAAAAGCAAGTAATAACAACAAATGAAAACAAATCATATAAAGAAACAAGGTAAAAACTAAGTAAAAATAGTAACAATAATAATACCAAAACCAACAACAACAACAAAGAAAAGAACAAATCCCACACAACTATTCTATTCTGGCAAGCTGTAATAGCGTATTTCCCGAAATCAGTCCTTAAAAGAAAGCACCTCTACTTCCCTCCAAATAGCAGACCTTGCTTCTCACCAAAGAGAACTCTCAGCAGTTTTATGCCAAAGTCACTTCCTTGAGTCCAAACCGTCTCTCAGTGCAGCAGGTTCACCGATCCAGTGAAGAGGCCCTTGAGTCTTGAAGATAGAAAAATGAAGAGGCTTCTGACAACCAGAGCAGTAAACTCAGATAACAGAACCCTTCCTAAGATTGCTCCCAGTTAGAAACTGTATGAATACTTTTGGAAGTGCAGAGAACTTCTTCCCTAGAACCAACTAGCTTTGTAAATCCCAGGTCTCTTATAGACTGTATGTTTGCAAGATTCTGAGTGCTCTGCTTGTGGAGTTCTCTAAGATCCTCTCTCTTTTACTTATTCTGGAGGATACTTCCTTCCTCCTGCTGAGCCCCAAACACTGGGTACAGTGCTCAAAGGTGAAAAAGAAACTTGGTGCTGGGGAGCTCTGTTTTTGTTTTTGTTTTTGTTTGCTATTCTAATATACCCAGCATTTCTGAGTTTCACCCGGTCACTTACTCTAGCGTGGCACTCCAGCGCTTTCCTATGACACCCACCTCAACTATACCTACACACCTGTTGTTCTAGTTTAATCTGGTGAAGAAGCAGGTGAGTGCTGGTGCCTCTAATCTGTCATCTTCCAATCTCCAAAAAGAGCTTTCTAAAAACTGAATCCCATAGCCTCACATACTTTATAATTCAAGTAACTATTTCATTCAATTTACCCACACTACTAGATTTGATCATCTTTCTTTATGTATTCTTCATATTCAAGTTTTTTTATTTTTTAAATCAATGCAAATCCTCATATAAAACACATAAATGCAATAGGGTGCCTGTGCAGGAGCACACAAGATACCTGATATGGTTTAAAAATAAATTAGAGGAAGTCTTGCCCAGGCAAATCTTCTCCTTTTTAGAAAGTTTTGAGAAGTATTCCTTAGTTAAGTAAATGTAGAGGAACTTGAAGCAGTGGAGTGGGTACAGTGCTCAAAGGTGAAAAGGAAACTTGTTATTCCAGCAAGGTTTAATGATTCAAGGAAACTGGAGGTAAGCAAACCTGTTGCTTATAATCAAATGTGTTTATTTACATACAGAATCTAGACAAGTTACCAAAGGTCCAACTCTGTTCACAGGATCCTGAACTAGAAAAACCTTCTCAGGGTCAACCAGAGTCCATAGTTACTTGGAAGGGATTTTCACTCTGGATGGATACTTAAGTCTGAGCAGGAAATGCAAAGCAGTTTTTTAGGCGGGGGAAGTGTTGCTTTGACCACAGAGGACGGCTGATGCTGGACACATTGACCAGGTCTAAAATCTGACATCAGTGTTTAGAAAATTTAGCACTAAGCATTAATATGTACCAAGAGAATTTTGTAAACCAACTGCCATCTGTCTCTGATGGTATCTGGAAATTATGGTGTTTGTAAATATGACCAAGCTAGCTGGAGTGCTTAAACCATTGGGTAGGTCCTTAAGAAGAATTTTGTAGTCTTCCTGACAGGGTGACTGTTTACTGGACAAACTAATTCAGCAAATAAGAGGACATGACTATCTGTCTCTAGTTTAGGAAGTAACTTAATGCAGCCATGCAAATTTGAAAACATCCTGTTTTCAAACTTAACAAATTTTGTTTCTTACATGTGAGTTCACTCTTTGCTTCCCAGGTTTTGAGAAAGGGACAAACTCAAATGCCATCAAGTATGAGGCTGTTGAAATAATTGCATCATGTAATAAGGAGGGATTGTGACTGAGAATAACTGGAGAATTTCTCCCTCTTCCAAGAAATCCAAATGCAACAATAAATTAAAATCTGAGCTGAACACTCTCTCTCTCTCTCTCTCTCTCTCTCTCTCTCTCTCTCACACACACACACACACATACAGAGAGAGAGAGAGAGAGAGAGAGAGACCATAAGTCAGTAGGCTAAATTTACCTTGCAATTGTCACTTTGATACTCATCAATAGAATCTATTTTGAAGTGTTCAAATCTTTTCTGGGATGACAAAAACTACTCTTCCAAAGTCACTAACAAAGAATTTGAAAGGATAATATAAAGAAGAGTGAATACTTTACTGAACCACAACTCAGTTCTGAGCTCTAGTTCCTGTGATCCAAAGAAGACTAAGATAAGTTTCCTTCTTCAGTGAGCTCCCAGACTCATGTTCAAGAATGTCACCACCATTTGTTCAGGTTCTGGTCCCCTTGAATACTCAGGAATATAGCTCTGAAATGTCATTGGATAAACTCACTTGTACCTCCTTTAAAACTGTGTGTACTGTAATATTAACAGGACTTTTTTTTCTTTTAAATAGAAAGTAATAGACATCCACTCATATCTCTGCCTGCCTTTGCCAATGATGGGGTTCAGGAAACACTACCCCAGAGTATTTTAAGCTGAAGGAATTTGAGAAAAACCACAGAAGCAGAAAGGTCTCTCTGAACTTCCTCTGCCCTTATTCCCTGAAACAAGTCATGAAATCTAGGGAAAATTCTACTATCCTCTGAAGCAGGTCATAAAACCATGGTGTGAAAGGTACCTTCTCTATAGCATAAGGAAAGGAATATCCTTACCTCAAAGGGACACAGAGAAAAATCTGAACAAATAGGACTTGCTAAATTTCCCTAACTTATTACATTTAGTTCATACCTGCTTTGTACCATTATATTTCTCCATGTCTGCCTACTTTTTTGGCAGGATAGGGGTACTGTGGATTGAAATCAGGCCAACTGTCTACTTTTTATAATAACCTATTAATTAAAACTATACACTTAGGCTTAACTACTTCTTCAGGTTTTCATCTACTGATGAAAACTCCTGTGTCACATAAAACATTTAAATAACCTATGTGATTATCTCCTCTTAATCTGTCTTTTATGGTAGGGGCCTCAACCATAAACTTAAAATGAATTACAAAAAGATATCCCTCCACCCCATACTGCCCTTCACTTACCCACATCTCATCCTGCTAATGCCCCCTGTCATTTAAGCCCCTGGATACCCACAAACCCTAGCTTGCATCTCTGGCTGCACCTTCCGCACTCAACAAAGTTCCTGGCACCGCATATGCTCTTCTTGTACTCAACTATGTGAACTGAGTTCTGCTAACTTGCAATTCTGATTATTGGTCCTGAACTTGATCTTTGTGAATCTCACAATACAGACCTGAATCTCTGCATGTTAAACCACTCGACCCAGACCTAGTTTCCAGGACTTGGCCTTTCCTTCCCACTAGTCTGATGTGACATTTGACTTTGATTTTCCTTTCTTTAAGCACAGGGCCCCTCATGTCCTTCTTTCCCCAAGAACAGATGTTTCTGCAGTAAGATGCAATTTCTTTTCTGCATTCTCATCTCCTCTCGTTCCCTCACTGCCCTGGTTCTTCTCAGGCAGTCCCATCTCCTTGCTACTCATCAGTCCCCTGATACTTTAGATTGCATATTTCTGTAAAGCTGCTTTTAGAAAGACAAGAAATTCAGAGTCTAAAAGTCAAACAGTAAAAGACACAGTCATACATGAGAGATTCATGTTTTAGAAAGAACTACTGGGGCTCAGGAAATGATACTCCAAAGTATGGCACTTTGGATTGCTCCCTGCTTTGAACTAAATGAGAACCAAGGTCTCTCTGACCTCCTCCTGCCCTCCTGTCTGTCATTTCTCTTTCTTCCCCAAAGCACAGGCAGAAATTTTCTCTAAATATTCCTTGCCTACCTTGAAACTGGATCCTCCTTAAAGAATAAAAGTTTGTCATATCCCCTCCCCAGGAATCTCTTCATTGGAGAAAATTGACTCAAAGCATTGGAAAGAAGACCAAAGGTTAACACCACATCCAGACAGTCTACATCACAGTCTTTCACCAGTTGTTCAGATACCTCGATTATCTCCCCTAAGTTGCCCACATGCCCCTCCTCTCTCTCCACTGAAGTCAGCATATAAGCTCTTACATTTCACTGGATTGTTGAGTACCCATTTTTTTTCCCCTTGTGATATACCTGTGCACATAATAAATTTGGAAGCATTTTCTCCTGTTGATCTAATGTCTATTTATTTCATAGATGTACTTTATCAAAACTTCAGAGGATCATGGGAAAGTTCTCTTTACCCCTACAAAACCTAATTCCCACCATACTTTAAAAAAGAATAAAGCATTAATTGGAAGATTTTGTCTATTGAATGAAAGTCCTTCATATATTTTGCTTATTCTTCCCATTCTGTTCCTCCATGTTTTATCCCTCAAATTATACATTTTTGTTTCATCAAAGAAAATATTATTGCTGCCCCTGTTCTGTATGAGCAGCTGAACTTGGGGTCACTCATGTGAATTTCCAGGGACTCCAAATAAAATGCAGACACACTTTACCTTTAAAGAAGCTTCTGGATGGTTTCTCAGCTCTTGGCCTCAGGCTCCCCAAAAGGGAGAGCAAGAGAAAGTCACCAGAGGCTGGCAATAGAGATCGAGCACGTTTGGAAGTGGGCTTTTATTGGGGTACTCTTGTTCTTAGAAAGTTCTATCCAAAAAAGGCCAGAAGGGGCAGGGTTACAAGGGACAGATGAATGTAATTCAACCTCAGGGATGACACTTACATCTGCAGACATGCCTTCTACTTCCTGAGCTGGGACAACGCCCAAGTCACCCGAAATGTAGTGATCGGTCAGAGCCTCTTGCTTCAGGACTGGAAAGTGTGGGTCATTCAAAGTGGCTCCCTACAGACTGTTTTTGTGTGACTTAATCATTTAATTCTAACTTTAAAAAGCTGCTTTCTATTTCATTTAATGTTTTATTTTCTGTGTGATTCTCATTTTGAGTTTTTCATTTTAGTTAATGAGACTATCCTCACTCCTACAGCCATAGGACTTTGTTGATCAGCTGTATATTCTGTCTCACCAAAACAAATGATTCTTCTCTTTCTTACCCAATTATTTCTCAGTAAATTCCCAAGTAGGCCTCAGGAGACATTTCCTTTAGGGAAAAAAATTTTTTTAAAGCATAAATAGTCTAGTAAAACACCATCTACCTTCTAAATCTGCTTTCGAAACACACACATTTTAGATGTGGGAGCGGTGAAAGAGATTCAAAATTATCTTCCATTATCCAGATTTCACATAGCTGTCCTTTGGCAAAATTTTAGAATTACAACACTTTTGTAAATAAGAACAAAGTTCCCTGAGAAGCCAGTCTACTGAGGCTTGTTATTCACTTTGACTGAATTGCTATATTATACATTAATAGCACTTTTGATTACTTCAAAACTGATAGATCTCTTAAAAATCACAATCCATTTTTTAAACTAAGTGAATATGAATAGTACATGAATAGAGCTAGAAGCTCAGATAATTTCAATTTTTCATAAATCGACACCTTCCCTCCCCCTAACTGGTGTTAAACATACCTTCCATGTGACCATTATTGTGTGATGATTTGGTTCCAAAGTCAAGGAAAAAACCCACAAGTGAAGAAGGTGGTCTACTACATGAATTCCCAAAGAGAAACACATTTTGAGTTCCAATTTGGACTCAATCAAGCATGTCCACAAATCCAGAGTTATGAAACTCAACTCTGCTCTGTCATCAAAGAAGAAAAGAGTGACAAAAACAGTTAAGGCCGGGAGTGGTGCTAAGAGAGGGGGAGGAGGCAAGCAAGTGGAGGACTGGGTAGAGAAGACCACAGGATGCTGTCAGCTGGACCAATAAAATAAGGAAGTCCCTAACCTCAGGGTGAGAGAGACATGATAGCAGCTGCAAAAGGGAAGTGCACATGTTTATACAATAGATGGATGAATGTTCATAAGCAAGAGAATGTAATCCTGTTTGCCTTAAAACACTTGTCGTGAAAAAGCTATATTTGGGGACTTTTCTAGGAACAGAGCTGCAATCCCTTGCTGTTGCCGGAAATTGCCTTGTGGTTTGGCATCCTGGGGATTTGCCTGACTTTTTGTGGCTGTCACCCCAAACTAGGAACCACGAAGTCAAAGTTAAATAAGAGCTAAAATTAAATTACTTCCCTTCCTTGTTTATGTATTTCTTTGGAATGAAGACATTTTAGCACTTACAATGTATTAATTTGTAGGATGGAATGTCACAGCAAGTCAATCATAGTCATAATGAAAATACAGGAACAATCTTGTATATTTTTCCATAATACAGTATATTTAGTTAGGATAAAACATAGGATCCCTAGTAACATAGTACTATAAATAGATATGAATGCCCTTTATCTTAAATGTGAGTAGATATATGTGACAGAAATTTGTGAGTTGTGTTCAATAACTTCTAAAGAACAATATCGAGATTTCTTGATACTAAAGCAAAATTTTTAAGATTAAATAAAAAGCTGTCATTATAACTTGAAAACTTCCCTCAAGAAATAACCAAGGAAAAATGCATAGGACTTTCAAAGGGAAGAGATTTGTGATCAAACATATTAACATACACCAAAAAAGAAGGGTGAGAGAATATAAATGTTAAATGTTGAAGGTTTCAACATGGGAATAGAGTATGTAGAAGTGTTGGAACAGTGGTTCTGAATATTTTTGGAATTGCTACCATGATCTATAACTACACTTTCTGTTTCTTGTCAATCCATCCTTCTGGAAGCATGCAACCCCTTCCACAACTGCTAATTAACTGTACTTGGATCATAACTAAGTGCAGGTATGTAAAAAACCCAAAGTTTCAGTTACAGAAGGCTTTTGCCCAGGATTTGCACAATTTGAAAAGTAAGGGCAATAAAGAAATAGATAGGCTAATTCCTGTCCCAATCAAAATGATGTTTCCCCTTACTGTGTCTGAGAAATCAAACTAAAAGTGAGCACCCCAAAAGATTTCAGTTTCCTTGTTTTCCTTCATTTTCCTAAATTCACCAAGTCTCATCTTTTTTCTCATCTATAATTAGCATTTGATTTTGTAATATTGTAATTTTTTTTCTTCCTTCCCTCTCTCCTCTCCTGCACCCTCTCTTCTCTTTTCTCTCCTTTAAAAAGACAAAACAACAATGAAAAACTTTCCCAAAGTAGTAAGCATTTGCTGACAGTTCACTCTGATATGGAGCTCTCGGTAGTCAACTTTTCTAAAATAAACCTTTGGGGGCTGGGGTTGTGGCTCAGCGGTGGAGTGCTTGCCTAGCATGCTTGAGGCACTGAGTTCGATCCTCAGCACCACATATTATAAAATGAAGATATTGTGTCCACTTAAAACTAAAAAATAAATTTTAAAAATAAAATAAACCTTTGTACAACTAGACTAGATGCCAGCTCCAGTGTACCCTTGCCTATGTGTTATCAAGTTCTGTACTCATATTGTGTGCTTTATAAGGCATCTTTCCAGGATGACAACATGGACAGATAGAGGGCAACTCAGGTCTGTTCAGCAGTATTAGGAGAAAGAAATGAAGCAGAGTATATTCTTGTGATTCTCAAAGGTACTTCATAGAGCTGGGCACGGTGTTGCATGCCTGTAATATCAGCAACTAGAGAGGCTGAAACAGGAGGGTTGAAAGTCTGAGGCCAGCCTTAACAATTTAACAGGATCCTGTCTCAAAATAAAAAGGACTGGAGATGTATCTGAATGGTAAATTCTGTATTCAATCCCCAGTACATCAACAATGATAAAAACAAAGGAAAACAAAACAAAACAAATAGTAATCATAGAGCTAGAGTACAAAATTCTATTCTACTATAGGAACATACCAATAGAACAGCAGTTAGAGCTAATGAAGTAATTATTAGAACAGTGAGTTTATTCTCTCTCCATCTCCCCTTCTCTCCTTTCCTTTTTATTCTATATTACCTTTATGTTAAAATTAAAAACCTCTAAGAGTTAGGGATGTTGTTCAGTGGTAGGGAACTTGCCTAGCATGGGCAAGGCCCTGAGTTTGATTCTGCAAAATAAATAAATGCCTCTAAAACATGATCCCAATCCAATCATTAAAACATCAGATAAACCCAAATAGAGGAATCTTCCACAAATATTCCCAACCAGTACTCTTTTTTTTTATTAGTTGTTCAAGACAATACAATGATCGTGACATATCATACATTTCCAACCAGTACTCTTTAAATCCGTCAAGATGTTGGGCATGATGGTCCACTATAGTAATTTTAGCTCCTCAGTAAGCTGAGTCAGGAGGTCACAGTTCAAGGCCAGACTGAGCAACTTAGTAAGACCGTTTCTCACCTGTCTCAAAAGAAAGAAAGAAAAAAAAAACAATCATAAAAATATTATGCAGAATTATCCACATAATTTTCACTTACAACCATTGGCCAAAATTCAGTCATATGACTATAACTAACCCAAAGATAGGCAGGGAATGTAGTCTAGTTGGGAGGCTACATCTTAGGGACTAATATTAAAAGGAAGAAAAAGAAAGTATTATGGGAACAATTAATCAGATCTCCCACAATCACCAGGATCCTTAGAAGTGGAGCAAGAACTTTAATCAAGGTCTTTGTATTTCATATTTGATGTTATACCAATTGATTGTTGAATTATATTTATACTTTCCATTCATCTATATATAAAAAGAAAATAGCAGATTAGGTATTTTTTGCTTTCCCTTTTAATATCCTTAAACTTGCCGTTTAATAACATTATTGGCTTAGTAGTCAATTCCTTCAGGGTTGCAATCTTTTGATATGCATGTGTTTGTGGCATTATTAAATGTGTGCATAACTCCTGGAATACACATCCAAAGCAGTCTGAAATGCTGGACAGAAGGTTGAAGAGAATTCAGCAGTTCTGTGCTCAATTGTCATGTGATCTTTAGAAAACTACCTGACTTACCTCTAGGATCAAATCCAGGTATCATGGAAACTAAAATTATTTGCAATTTAGAGATCTTCTTTAAAAAAAATTCACAACACTTTTTTACTAATCAAAAATTAAGCATGAACATAAGTACTAATTCACAGTGAGAAATGAAATAATAACGAAACATTTTAAAGCTGACAAAAAACATAGATATCAAAAATTGTGAAAAATAAGATACTTTTATGCTGCCTGACATACCTTTACAATATATTTCCCCCTAAATTTTTGTTGAAAATTCATTGGTAATTTTTTCGTATGAAAATGTTGTAATATATTCTAAAGGGAACAAAAATAAAAGTTTTTTCCAGCATGACTATTGATATTTTTCCTCTATTATTATAGTTAGGATTCATAATAAACCAACTTCATACAATAGAATAATAGCACAATAGAAGTTTGCATTACTTCTATTGATCTTGCCTGAAAAAAAAAATAAAAATTGTTTACTTGTCATCATACATGCTACATTATTGAATATAGTCCTGACAGGAGGGAATTACCACTTTGAGTAGGCTTCAAAAACAACTGAATCTTTATGCTTACAATTTTATAGATTTGATGACTAGAAAAAATTTCCCCAACGTGGCTTCTTGATGTCTCCATTCTAAGTCTTCTGTTTTCTCTGTTGCTTACAGC